GGTCAATCGTGCTCCTCGCCAAGTCAATCAAGTCGAAGCGCAGGAATCCGTGCATGCTGCTGTGGCTGCACCTGCTGATGTGCGCCTCAACATGTTGTTCCCTGGCACTGCCATGATTAATGAGACGACTTTGCAGTACCCTGGCTCACAAAGCACCTCAGCCACAATAGAGTTCACCCTCGACAGTGGGGCCACTCACACGGTTCTCAAGGAAGAACACTCCTTCAAGCCATACGAGACACCAATCTGTCTACTTGGAGCAGACTCCAGTTTCACAACACACGCCAAGGGCTCCTCCACAGTTCCGTGCCCAGCTTTTCTTTCGGGCAGTGTGACTGGCATGTGTGTTCCCACACTACGCCACAATCTCGTGGCCCAACACGAGCTCCAACGGGCAGGCGTCACCACGATCTTCCCAGCACACTCGGATCACTGTGACCTCTTCGACCCTAAGTCCAACAAGCTCCTAGCACGCTTCACACTCAACAGTAGCAAGCTCTACACGCTGCGTTCACCTGCACCTCTCGCCGCCCTCTCCCAAGCGCAAGCTGCCAGCACCACTCCGTGTTCATGTCGCAGCTTCGCCAACCCAACCATCCTCTACCACCATCGCTTGGGTCACCCCAACTTCCGTTCACTTGCCGACATCGCTTCCAAGAAACTTCTTCTTGGCCTCCCGTCGGCGCTTCCTCCACCAACAGACTCACCTGCACCCACCTGCCTGGACTGCACCAAGAGCAAGCTCAGGCAGCAGCCGCACCCTTCCTCCCCATCCGTCGCAGCTGCTCCGCTGGACCTAGTGCACATGGATGTCTGGGGCCCAGCTCCAGTCGCATCCCGAGGCGGTCATCGGTACTTTCTTACACTAGTCGATGACCACTCGCGGTATGTTTCTGTGCACCTCCTGCATACCAAGGCGGAGGCACCAGATGTCATCATGGCGTGCGTGCGCCAGGCTCAAGTCACATTCGGCACTCCTCTGAAGTGCCTCCATTCTGATGGCGGGGGAGAATTTCGCAATGGCAAACTCGATAACTTCTGTGCGGCCCAAGGGATTCGGCAAACCTTCACGCTCCCCGAAAGCCCGCAGCAGAATGGCATTGCAGAGAGCCGCAACCACACCTTGGTTCAGATCGCTCGATGCCTCCTCAGTCACGCCAACGCACCACGGTCACTCTGGGGATATACCCTCTTCCATGCGGCACTCCTCTACAATCTTTATCCGCATCCCCACCGGCCTGACACCACACCTACCACTCTGTGGCTTGGGATCACGCCTTCCGCCCGCTCTCTACGCGTCTGGGGGTGTACCGCGTATGTGTTGCTAAGCCCCCACACGCGCAGGAAGCAAGGTGGCAAGCTTGGTCCCAAAACCCAGACCTGCATGTACCTGGGGCACAACTCCGACTCCCCAGACTACTTATTCCTCAACCCAATCACCAGACAGCTGATTCGCAGCCGTGATGTCGTCTTCGATGAGACACGCCCATTCCACTCTACGACCACGGGCGAGCCCCCTCCACCTCCCCCGACGCTTGTTTGGGCAGACTTCGATGCCCCACCTCCGGCCGCTGCCCCTTCTCCGGGGCCTTCTCCGTCCGGCGTGTCTCACCCGGCCTCCCCAGTATCCTCCGCAGCGGCACCTCCTCCTGCTCCGCCTTCCCTGCGCGTCGAGCCCGGCTCACCAGTCTCCTATCGGAGGCGCCCGGTCCCTCCGGTCCCACCGCAGCCGCCTTCGTCTCCGGTCTCTAGTCGCACTCGTTCCAAGGGACCGGCTCCGCCTCTCGCCTGGGGACCAGCCGCCTTCTCCATCCGGTGTTCGGTCACCCCGCCTCCTCCTGCCGGGGGTGATGTCCCCTCCATCCGTATTCCCCCCCGTGCACTTCTGGAGGACAGGCATGAGGAGCTGTTTGACCTTCACGCGGTCTGCCAATTTCTCTCTCACATCTTCCCGGACATTACTGACTGCCCTTCCCTCAACTTCACCGAGAACCCGACCATTCCGACTCCTCGCACAAAAGAGGAAGCTCTCTCGGGGCCTTATAAGAAGGAGTGGAAGGCAGCAATGGATGTGGAGAACGAGGCGTTCATTCGCAACAACAGCTTTGACGATGTTGTTCCCCCTTCCGGTGTCAACATCGTCGGCGGAAAATGGATCTTCCGAGTCAAACAATTCCCAGGCGAAGCTCCACTGTTCAAGGCACGATACGTGGCGAAGGGTTTCACCCAGAAGGAGTATCTCGACTTCTTCGAAACATTCTCGCCCACGGCCAAGCTCCCGACTGTGCGCGCTCTTCTTGATATAGCCGCTCGCGGCAACTTCGAGATCAAGTCCATGGACGCCTCCTCCGCCTTTCTCCAAGGCCAGTTCAAGGAGGATGTTCACATGGAACGCCCACCGGGGTTTCCTGGCACTTACCCTGCCAACACAGTGTGGAAGCTGAAGCGCCCAGTGTATGGCCTCAAGCAGGCTCCTCGTGAGTGGCACAACAAGGTGAAGGAAGTCCTCCTCGCACTTGACTTCCATCCCTCTGCCTCAGATTCCAGTCTCTTCGTTCGTCACTCCTCCGAGCCCTTCTACATCCTCGTCTACGTCGACGACTTCATTCTAGCCGCCAGAGATCCAGCCGACATGGCAGCTGTCCAGTCTGCTCTCAGCTCCGCCCTTCTCATGAAGGATCTTGGTGACCTCAAGAACTACCTGGGGATGGAGATCACTCGTGACCGCCAGGCTTGCACGATCACGCTCTCCCAGGAGTCCTACATCGACAACCTTCTCAAGCGGTTCGACATGGACTCCAGTAACTCTGTCTCCACTCCACTCCCACTATAGCATCAGCTCACGGCCCCTCCAATTCCTTCTCCTGATGCCTGCAAGGACCCGTACCCTGAGCTAGTCGGTTCACTCATGTATGCCATGATGTGCACTCGACCAGACTTGGCTTACCCGGTTAGTGTCCTCTCTCGGTACGTCTCCCCCGGACGCTACACTGCCTCGCATTGGTCTGCAGCCAAGAGGGTCCTCCGCTATCTACAAGCCACCAAGTCTCACATCCTCACTCTTGGTGGTACCTCTCCAGTCAAGCTCGAGGGATACACAGACTCCTCATGGGCCGATGACCAGACTGACAGACGCTCCTCCCAAGGGTACTGCTTCACCCTTGGTAGCGGAGTCATCAGCTGGTGCTCCACTCGGTCCTCTGCAGTCTCCCTGTCGTCCTGCGAGGCCGAGCTCTACGCGGGCACAATGGCTGCTCAAGAGGCACGCTGGCTCTCCTTTCTCCTCGCTGAGTTAGGCTACCCCCAGCAGTCGCCCACCCTGTGGTGTGACAACCAGAGTGCCATTCATCTCACCAAGGATCCTGTGTTCCACTCTCGCACCAAGCACATCAAACTTTGTCATTTCTTCATCCGAGATCTTGTTCAGAGTAACCAGCTGATGGTATGGTACATCGCCTCAGATTGCAACCTCGCCGACCTCTTTACCAAGGCTCTCGGCAAGGCTGACCACCATCGCCTTCTCCGTTCCATGGGGCTATGTGCTCCTTGACCGGGTTTGCAGTCTATGGGGGTGTGTTAGAAATAGACTGCAAATACCACTTTTGTATTTGTACTTTTATATCCTAGTTTAGGTTGTGAATGTTCTAGTGGGTTGGGGTGTACTCACAAATCCCAACCTCACCCAATTGTGATCCCCACAATCTCCAATTACCCAATTGGAGATTCCGGAGATCCCAATGGGGATTCCCTCCAATTCCCCCTTCATCCATTCTCTCTCACCTTGCCATGTACTTATAGAGCCTTGGGCTCCTTACCTAATAAATCATTTCAACTCTATTTCTTAAAACATGACCATTGTCGGCAAAGTGGTAATACGCTTCTGCGTTCGCACTTTTGTGAGGGTCTTTATTGTCCATTTGCATGTCGACAGAGCAATATGGTAGCGGTCCAGCTATCGTCGAGGCATCCATAATATTATGCTCGTCTTAGTCAGCTTCCTCTGCTGACAAAACGAATGCACGTGCGCTGCTGAGGCCACCAGAGGGGTCCTGGCGGTTGGCGATTTTGTCGAGGTAATGCTGCATGGTGAGATTTTAGTGGAAGATCACGTCACGTGCTGCCACTTTTTCTTTATCGTCCAAGTCGAAGATTTTCGGTGGTAAAATTTCTCAATGCCGAGGTGTAGAGTCCATCCTGCTCTCTGTGAAAATCTTCGAGCTCATGCGGTGCGCAGTCGGTACTGTACTATACAACCGAAGACTCATAGAAGTTTTGTGTTGCCCAACTTCCCTGTCCACATCACGTGCAGTGATGCGTTGTTCGGCAAGGAGCTAGACGGCAACAGATTCTGCAGCATCTCGGCATGGTCCTTTGCCTCCGGCCACTGTGAGTTGGGCAGTTGCATGCCACGCAGCAGCTTTCGCATGTTTTGCAGTGTCCTTCTCATCCGTTCTTCCACGCCTTATTATTAGTGAGCATAGGGAATGATTCCTCTTTCCTGCAGGTAGTCCTTGAAGCGTTGTGACTGGTACTCCATCGCCCCATCTGACTGAAAACTCTTTAGCTTAGCGTTGCTTTCTCTTTCTGCCAAAGGAAGCCACGCCATGAACTCCGAAGGCAAGATTTTGCAATGGTGGGTTTAGATACTTCATAGGGGTACATTCCCTTTACGACTCCATAAACACAACTCGGGTAACCACCCATACTGTAATGCCGGGATGATTATGTGTCCGTGCTGTCGTGCTGACTTCTGTAAGATTTTGACAGGTGTGTTGCAAGACTTGCAGGAGACGAAGTATAGAACATGCTTGTATGAACACTTGGAAAACCTCAAGTGTTGGCCTAGGATCTTTACTGGAATGGTAGACTAGTAAGATAGCGGAAGTCTTATAAGAGTGAACCCGAGCACATGAACTTGTGGGTAGTCGAAGGTTGAATAACCTGAGCACATAATTCTGTGGAAAGTCAAGGTTAATAATAGAAAGGCATTACAAAGTTTTATAGCTCTAGGGAAAGTACCTGTTCGGCTAATTGCGCGCTATGCGACCTATTCGTCATTCTATAGGGTCGCGACTGTTCGCGTGACTGAAACGACTCGTTACGCCTAATCGCGTAACTGAAGCGGTATGCTGATGTCATCAATGAGACGATGCTTTGCTAACGTCAGCACTCAGACTTGTTTCCTTACCGAGAAACTCGATACTGCTAACTACACCAAAAACAGAACTTGCAGGAATGCAAAACTTCATTTACCACAACACTCCACTTCATTCCTGGAAGTTTGATGTAGTCACGTCGTGGTTGGAGTTCGGCGAATGAAATCTGCAATTTGGAATCTTGTGACGTGTAAACTTCATGTGCTGTAAGTAGTCGGCGGTCATTCCATTGGTCAAATGGTAGACCAATCGCTTTCTTCTCTTGCTGATGACGAATTTTGGCTTTGACGAAGTGCGATTAGATCCTCCTTTCCCCCCTCACTTCGGCAGAGTAAATATGAGTCGGGTTGAAAGTGGTTGGGGTTGCGCCAATGAACGTGGCAAGGTCGAAGGGGATGAACGCAAAACCACGAGAGTGTTGCACGTGGTGGAGAGGAGGCTCGGCATCGTCCGGATGCTTGACAAAGGACCATGAAGTGACGGGCAGATCTGATGGTGCAGGTTCGGGCAGGGAAATATGTTGAGTCGGCAGTGCACGCAGCTGCTCACGTAGCTCGTGTAGCGTACTGCTCAACCGTTCTGCTCCATTGCATTCTTGAACGCAATGATGAAGGGTTGGATAGCAATTGATGCCCATGCCTTGCTCGTAGTCGTTGGAGCTCGTAGGGTGATAATCGACTGCTCTGTAGTAGAGGAAAGTTTGCAGCGTGGTACTGAGCTCGCTTGCTGCTATACTCAGCCAAGCACAAATCAGGAGGGTGAAATATGAAGGGAGAAAAAAACTTGAGATTGAGTAACCTTTTTCTTGGAGACTGGTAGTTGAAGAATTGTCAAAAGGCTTGTCGAGAGTAGTTGTAGCGTCGAAGAATTCTTCAGGTTCGAGTTGCAGAGTTTCCTCGCCTTCTTGAATAATATTTTCTTCGATATCAATGGCAGGTGTGTCGGCAAGGATGGCGGTGGTGCTGCTACTCTGATTTTCTTCTTCGATGCTGCTGAAGTCCATTGGTGAAGTGGTTACCAAAGCTACTGCTGCGATGATTGAAGGAGCTTGAGGGAGAGTGACATCTTTGAAAGATTTTGCTGCTTTGAAGCGTAAGACAAATACGCCATTCTTGGTTTCTGCTCTTCCGATGTATGTGTTGTCGTATAGTAACTGTTGCTCTTGTGTCATGCAGTTTCCAACCGTGCGGATTTTCTTCTTCAAGAGTTGATTAGTTGACACTAAATTGAAGCCAAGATTGTCGACGAGTAAAACATTGGTAAGTCGTAAGGAATTTCCCGTGTCGATTGATGCCAAAAGTAGACTGCCGATGTTTTCTGCTGCAATTGTTTGACCATTGGCGAGTGTGATTGGGCAGGGCTGAAGAAGTCGACGACGGTTGTAGATGAAAGGATTTGTTGAAGAGACCATGTGATGGCCACAACAACTATCCAAGTACCAAGTATCGGTATCTGAACTGCAACCAGTTATGTGAGTGGATGAAGTAGGTAAGAAATTTTTCGAGGTTACCGTATTGTTGACAGAGTTTGAATTATTTTCGAGCGGCTTTGATGACGTGCTTGGAGGGGCTGAACTAAGTGACGTTGGTCTTGTTGATGTTGCAGATGCTGTGTTTGGAGGAGTAGGCTGCTGCAAAGATTGCTTCGAAGGATGTTGTAGCGGCTGTGATGATTTCGACTGCTACGGTTCTTCAGGAGGTAAATACATCTTCTTAAAGTAGCACCGGTCAGTAGAATGTCCTCCCTTGTTGCAATTGTGACAAAAATATTGAGGACGTCGTGTTGGTGTTGAATAGAAACTGAGCTGTATATCTCCCTGTTTGTTGCGTTGTGACTGCAGGTCAAGATCTTGCTGTTCCGCTTGAAGATACGACGAAATTCCAGCTTCGGAGAGGTTCGGGTTCATGCGCAGGAAGGCGCGCGTTTGTCGCCATTCGGGTCCAAGGCCAGCAAGAAGGACCGTGAGATACATCTCACGAGGGAAGTATCCTCCACTCTTTTCCAGTTGATCTCGTAGTGTACGGACGCGATTGACGTAGTCCATGACATTTTCGTTTGTCATCATCTGCACACTTGTCAGCTGCGAAAGTATTTTACTCACTGTTATTGTATCCTTTGCCATGTATACCCCCTTCAAGTGGTTCCATGCAGTTTCAGCTGGTGTAAAGCTTGAATGAAATGATCGGACGCCGAGCTGCTCCTTCGGCGACAAGTTCCGAACAAGAACCGTATACGCCCCGAGACAGGCGTGCAAGAAACTCTGCTGCTCCAGTTGTGTTCCCACGACTAGGATATGTAAATTCGCCGGTGAAGAACGGCCATAGACCAGCGGACTGCGCCAGAAGCTCAAACTCGAAACTCCAGGAGTAAACATCCACTCCGTTAAAAGGTATGGTTGTCTTGATCTGTGTACTGTTAAGCAAATTTGGCGGTTGAAAAATAATACCCGAATGTTGAGGCTGTTGCTGTTGCTGCTGTTGCTGTTGTTGCTGTTGCTGCTATTGGTGTTGTTGTTGTTGCTGTTGCTGTTGTTGCTGTTGCTGAAATTGCTGCGGCTGTTGATGCTGTTGTTGTTGTTGCTGTTGCTGAGCAGGGGGACGCACGAAGATGTAAAAGGACTGCTGCTGATACTGTGACTGCAGCTGCTGCGCAAAAGGTGAGAAAGCAAACGAAGCAGTACTTGGAGCTGTGGCTCCACGCATATAACTCGAGCCGTCAAGGCTCATTCCACTGAACGCCGATGAGATTGACTGTGTTGAAAACGGTGGTTGTGCTGTTGCCTGTTGTTGTGCTGTTGACTGTGTTTGTTGTTGTTGCGCTGCAGGTGCAGTCGATGAAACCCCTGGAGTACTGACAGAAGGCGGATTCTGCTGCTGCTGCTGCATACCGATGTTCGCATAAGCCGGTGGAAACGGTCCAGAGGCTGAGAGACCAGTGGCGGTCGTGGAGACATGTACTCCAGTAGTTCCAGAACTTGATCCAGTAGATGCTGCTGGTGGTGATCCAGTCATAGTTGACAGTAGTCTTAATTCCAGATAGCTCTCATACCATGTAAGAATTTCACAGGTGTGTTGCAGGACTTGCAGGAGACGAAGTATAGAATCTGCTTGTATGAACACTTGGAAAACCTAAAGTGTTGGCCTATGATCTTTACTGGAATGGTAGACTAGTAAGACAGCGGAAGTCTTATAAGAGTGAACCTGAGCACATGAACTTGTGGGTAGTCGAAGGTTGAATAACCTGAGCACATAATTCTGTGGAAAGTCAAGGTTAATAATAGAAAGGCATTACAAAGATTTATAGCTCTAGGGAAAGTACCTGTTCGGCTAATTGCGCGCTATGCGACCTATTCGTCATTCTATAGGGTCGCGACTGTTCGCGTGACTGAAACGACTCGTTACGCCTAATCGCGTAACTGAAGCGGTATGCTGCCGTCATCAATGAGACGATGCTTTGCTAGCGTCAGCACTCGGACCTGTTTCCTTACCGAGAAACTCGATACTGCTAACTACACCAAAAACAGAACTTGCCGGAATGCAAAACTTCATTTACCACAACTTCGACTCTTGCACTTGTGATTTCTGTATTGTAGCCTCCGTCGTGTGTCGTCAAACTGCGTCAACCGTCCGAAGGTACTGTAGCGTGGTTGACTCGTCAGTCCTTGATGTTGCTGTACTCGCGTACTGTATAACACTCGAGACTCCTGAAATGCTTCAGTTTCTTTTTCATCGTTTCCAACAAGGTAGAATAAGGGTTTTCATCCTAATTGGGATCGCCCTGAGCATGAAAGTCCTTTGGATAGACTCAAGGTTCTTCGTATCCAAACAGATCCAATAGTGACAGCACAGCACCATTTGTCCACCCAAACCCAACCTGCAGGACGAGGGTGGTAAGAGTGGGCAAAGTTGTGCCAGGCACATAGCATGATGGGCAATGTGATGACTGCAAGACGGTGTGAATTGCGCACCAGTTGGCAAGAGGAGCAAAAGGAAAGAACAAGAGGGTTACAGAAAGACGCGTGAGGGGTGCAGGCAGAGCGAGATGTAGAAAGAGGCAAGGCCATGGGGCGAGACCCACCTGTGGGTTGTACTCGCCGCCACCTCCCACGGCGCCCCTGTGCCTGCCGTCATACTTCTCGTGCATGGCGCCCGTGCGCTCAAACGCCGCCCGTGCCGACGCCAAGAAACGGTGCGCCAGCTGGCGGGCGAGAGAGACCGCATGAGGTGAGGCGGTGAGCAGCAGGCCGTCACAGATGGCGTGGTGCAGAGGCGGCCACACGTTGGGGTAGTCCCTGGGGGGAGAGGGGAGGGGGGGGGGGTAGGGGGGGAGGTGTTACAAGGATGGACGGCGAGCACGGAAGCAAAACAATGAGAGAGGTAAGGAGAGAGGGAGAGTTCAGAGGGAAAGACGAGCAGATGACAAGGAGGCGGCGCAAAGCCAGGGACAAGACGCGATCGATTCAAGCTGAATTGGATACTGCATATGCTAATGAAAGAGTGGAGAAACCGGGCCAAGCGTTCACCAACAACTCACCACTGCTGCCCAGTGAACCTCGTTGACGTGGCCACGCCAGCCGGCAGCAGCAGACTGGAGGACTGCAGCGATGCTACAACAAGGTCAATGCGCGGGTCACCTGGGTATGGGCGAGGGGAGCACAACGGGACTGCAGGGCTGAGGAGGTGCAGGTGAAGGGCCAAAGGCGAGTGGATGGGGGGCACGGTGGGGGGCACGGTGGGGGGCACGGTGGGGGGCACGGTGGGGAGCACGGTGGGGAGCACAGTGGGAAGAGACCAGGACCGGGCGAAAGAGGGCGTGGAGACACACACCAGCGGGCACGAGGCCGCAGCACAGAGGGAAGTAATCCGAAGCGTACACATCCTCGGAGGGGGCTGGAGAGCTGCCCTCGGTGCTGCCCATCGCACGGCACACAGAGAGCACGGCACACACAATTAAGGCAAGCCAGCAGTCATGACGCTAGCCACAGTGTTCACCATTACAGGAACCAAGAAGCATGCAGGCACACATGCGTGGGTGCTCAAGGGCTTTATATTAGCATGCCATGTCCAATTGGTGCACGCCATGTGCCATGGGTGCACGCCATGTGCCATGGGTGCACGCCATATGCCATGGGTGCACGCCATGTGCCATGGGTGCACGCCATATGCCATGGGTGCATGCCATATGCCATGGGTGCACGCCATATGCCATGGGTGCATGCCATATGCCATGGGTGCACGCCATATGCCATGGGTGCACGGTGTCGTAAGCACGATGCACGATGCACATGGGCTGGGCTCCTTCATCAGAGGGGGAAACCTTCTCAAAGCGTGGATCCCAGCGCCCCCGGGAATCAAAACATGAGGTTTTGAAACCCGGCCAAAATGCCCTCAAGATCAAAACCTAAGAGAACTAAATGTTCCCCGCGATCAAAATGCCCTCCGCGATCAAAATGCCCCCTGTGATATTTGGAGAGCAAACTGTTCACTGAACTATCCGCTGGGAAGCTGATACCGAATGAAGGCATGGTATGCATTCCGTGAGAAAGTGTGAAATTTGAAACGGCGAGATGGGCGGCTTAGAAGGACCTGTGATACCTGGCACATGTGCTGCTGGCGAGAGGCCGTTGCACCGCCACCCACTCACAATGAGAGCCCTGAGGCAAGAGAGGGAGAGGAAGAAACGAAGGGCAACCCGGAAGCATGAGAGGGGCATGTGCTAGCACATGTGTGGATACACAAGAGCGCGGAGGAGCGGAATATCGAGCCGTACCCTCCCCCCCAGAATCAGTCAAACACTGTCTTCACATGAGAGGGCGCTCAGCCCGGCCTGCACGACCGCATTGACACTCACACATTGTGCCGCAGCAGCGCCATCCGCCCCGCCCATGCCCCTGGGCTCCACCCACACGTCCCTCCATCGCCCCTCTCGCACACCCCCACCCCCTCGCCCTTCTTCTCTGCCTGCTTCCCCTCCTCCCCCATGTCCTCCCCCCTCCGCCCCCACCCCCTCGCGCCACATCATCACGTCCATCGCCTCTCTCCTCCGCTCCGCCAGCTCAGCAAAGCGTGCCGCCAGCTCGGCCAGAGACATGTCACTGATGGCCACGCCCTCTGGCCCCTGCCATGCGGCCATGTGGGCGGGGGGAGGGCGGCACAAGCAGGTGCCGGAGGAGGCGAGGAGGGGCAGAGCAATGGCGCACGGAATGGTGGGAGGACTGGAGGCAGGTGCGCAGGGAGTGTGTGCAGCAGACTAGCACAGGCCAGCCAGGTAGAAGCAGAAAGTGGCGGAATCCTCACCTCAGCGGTGGCAGCAGGGGTGGCAGGGGGGCGGGGAGAGGGGGTGGAGAGGAGCGAGTGAGCAAGGGCAGCGATGGTGCGCTCGAGGTGGAAGAGCAGCGCGTTCAAATCGGCGGGCAGCACGCTGCTGGGGTGGCTGCTCGTGAGGTCCTTAGGGTCGCTGGGGATGGGGAGACGAGAGGCAGCGACAGGAGAAGAGGCAGCAGGAAGCGTCATGAGGTGCCATGTGAGACCCAGTGGCTGCCGTGTCAGACGGGGACGAAAAATGCACATGTGCAGAATCAAAACAAGTGGATCAGGCTCGAATGCACCCATTCCTGTGTGCAACCATTGGCAGCTCGACAATCTCATGCGGGCAGTGGCGTGGGATGGGGGGCGTGGCGGGGAGGGGAGGCGTCTGACCGCATCCAGCGTGAGCTGAAGTCCCACCCCGACTCAGCCACTGTCGCCAGCTCGCGGAACAGCGCCGCCCGCTCCAGCAAGGCAGCAGGGGGAGACGCGGCAGGGCAGCTGTGGTGCACATGGCGCAGATGGTGTCGGGACCGCTGCAGTGCCAGCGCTGCTGTCTCGGTGTCCTGGCATGGCATGGGGGCGAGGATGCACGTGGTTGTGCCACGCGCATGGCAGCAGCTGAGGACTTCAAACAAGGCGCGAGGCACCTGAGGGAAGGCGAGAGGCACCTGAGGGAAGGCGAGAGGCACCTGAGGGAAGGCGAGAGGCACCTGAGGGAAGGCGAGAGGCACCTGAGGGAAGGATTCGGGGCGGGGCCGGGTCCACATGGCGTAGTAGCGGGAGAGGTGGAAGGTGCGGGCAGAGGGAGGGTGGTACACTGCAATGCCGTGCGGGGCTGATGGGGGGGGTGTGGGGCGTTAGCATGGGGTGAACACGTGACATGTGTGTAAAGGCACTGAGAGAAATCGGAAAGAAAGAAAGAAAAAAACCCAACCCCAACATGCCGCCCACTTATCCCAGCCTGACCTCCCTGCCGCCCCACCTTGCGTCCAGAACTCGTGCTCTCTGACCAGCACGGGCAGCGCCTCCCTCACCAGCCTCTCCGCCTGCTCGCCGCGCCCCGTGCCTGCGGGCCCATCTGCTGCGTCTGCTGGCCCCTCCTCCCCAGCCACTGCCGCCCTGCCCTGCCCCCCCTGCTTCGCCTGCTCTCCCTGCGCGCATGCGTCCAGCAGCGCTGCGTGCACGGCGCGCACCATGTGGCTCAGCAGCGGGGGCTGGCTGCCATGCGTAGCCGTGCATGAATGCAAGAGCGAGGGCAGCAGGGGAAGGGAGGAGCAAGAGCAGGGAGAGAGACAGCGAGGGAGGGAGGGAGGGAGGGGTGGAGTGGAGCGGGGAAAGGCAGGGTTGGGAAGAGCAGAGAGTGAGAGGGGGCGCGCAAGGTGATGTAAGGAGGTGGAGTGGAGATAGGTTAGAAGCGTTGAGGGTCAGCGGAGAGGAGGCACCTTCTATTGAGGTAGTAGGCGCGGGAGCCGTTGGGCACATGGCCGTGCGCGCGGGCGAGATGCAGCAGGTTGCGCACCGCCGCCAGGGCCGAGTCCAGCATGCCGCTCACCAGCAGGCCCCTGCAGCGCACAGCGGAGAGGGGCGCCGCATGCACACAAGAGGAGCACACGCGATGGGCAGCCTTTTCTGGTGCTCCTCTCTGTCGCTTCAGCAAACAGCAGGCCTCGACCAAAATATGATACGTTTAGTGCCGTGCGAGTGTGCGTAATACGTGCCTGGCCACCCCCCACGTGCCTCATCACCCACCTGATCACCCAGTACGAGTCCCAGTAGTACATCTCTCTGAACCGCTCCCCCGGCACTATCACCGGCGCATGCGGCAGCGCCAGCAGCGACCCCCCCTGCACCACCACCCCACTGTCCGCTGCTTCCCCTCCTCCCCCGCCCCGTTTCTCCTGCTGCTGCATGCGTGGCACGGGCCCAGAGTCACCTCCCCCTTCCCCCCCAGAATTGTGGACTGGATCGCCGCGAGGGGCTTGCGCACTGGGGGCGGATGGAAGGGTGGGCGAGGGATGGGAGGGCATGGCAGGGGTGGCGGGAGGAGGGGCGGTGCGGAAGGAGAGGCGCGGCCAGAGGCGATGCACGGCGAGAGCCCAGAGGCGGGTGGCGGGGTGAGTGACGTGCGGGAGGAAGGAGGGCGGATGTGGGTGGAAGTCCGGCGGCGTGAAGGAGTGCAGATCCGTGCCTGCTGGCGCCAGGTGCTGCGACACAAGGCGCCGCGCCTCCTCTGCTGACAAATCGCTGACTGCGGGGACCAGGGCAGAGCGCGCGGAGAGAGAGGGCCCGGTCGAAGGGAAGGGAGATGGTGATAGCGAGAGACAGAGAGAGGGGAAGAGAGACAGCGAGAGGGGAAGAGAGACAGCGAGAGGGGAAGAGAGACAGCGAGAGGGGAAGAGAGACAGCGAGAGGGGAAGAGAGACAGAGAGAGGGGAAGAGAGACAGAGGGAATGGCGGATAGAGCGGGCACGGGGAGTGGGTTGAGGAGCAGGATGGGGTGAGGGAGAGGTGGGAGCAGGGTGAGAGGCGACGAGGAGCGCGGGAAGGACGAGCGCGGGAAGGACGAGCGCGGGAACGGAAGAGGCGCTGCAACGAGGCAGAGGCGAGAGGGAACACCCTGGCACGGCACTGCCACATCTCCAAGTGTTCACCATCCCCGCACATCCTACCGCCACCACTCTCCACTATCTCCCCGCCGCCTTTCTCCCCCCCACCCGGCTCATGCCCCATCCCTCGTGGCCCTCACCTGCTGCCAGCGCGCGCCTCACGGCCCCAACGTCCGTGAGCACCACCGTGTCAACAATGCTCTTCGCATCGTCGAACGCGCCGCTGGCCCACAGCTGCGCCAGCACGTCCTCGCAGTGCCACACGGCCCGCACCTGGGCGGATTGGGCCCCATGCATCACACAATTGTTGCCTCTGGTTTCAAGACCAGCTGCTTGGTTTCAAGACGCCAGCTGCTTGATTTCAAGACCAGCTGCTTGGTTTCAAGACCAGCTGCTTGGTTTCAAGACCAGCTGCTTGATTTCAAGACCAGCTGCTTGGTTTCAAGACCAGCTGCTTGGTTTCAACTTCGGGAACTGAGGTTTATATTGGCTTATATACAATAGTCACACAAACGCAGTTGCACACCGTACACGAGCACGGCAAGGTAACAGGGTCACTTGCAAGGTAACATGGTCACTTGCAAGGTCAACACAGAACACATGACAGGAGATGGGAGAGAATACACACAAGAGAGGTGCTGTGCAGGGGAGGTAAAGTGGGCGCAGGAGGAGAGCGACAATGTAAGAAAGGCTTGAACCATCCATGCTGGCACGGCAAGGAAGGGCGCGCGACACAGCGCGAGGGACGCCCACCGTGTCGTCGCCGCTCGCCCCCACCGTCAGGTCCCTCCCCGCCCCCCGCACGCCCGCCATCTCCTCCTCTCCCGCCCCCCCGCCCTCCCCGCCTGCTGCGCACACCGTACTCAAAGGGGCCTCTGCGCTCGATGGAGAGGCCATGGCGAGGGGCCGTGGAGAGCGGTGCGAGTGGGCAGGAGTGCGGCGTGAGAGGAGCCTTGCCCGTGGAGCCTACTCAAGCGGGGCGCTGTCGGGATGCGCAGACGAGGGCGGGGAGGTCACGAGGGGAAGAGAGCAGAACTTCAAGATGACTGGCAGACACGCCAAGGGATGACTGGCAGGCAGGGGGGTGAATGGCAGGCAGGGGGGTGAATGGCAGGCAGGGGGGTGAATGGGAGGGTCGGGCGCTGGTCGAGAGCTCCTCTGCCCGCATGCCATCGCCGCGCGCTCGTTTCCACCCACTCCGCCGCCACCCACTCCGCCGCCACCCACTCCGCCGCCACGCGCATCTCCCTCCCATCTCGCATCCTCCCTCCCATCGCTGCGCCAACGCGGCAGTACCCACCTGGCGCTCCTCGCCCTTCCCACGCCACCAGCCGCCCGCCAGCAGTCGCCGCGCAGACGCGCCGAGCACACGACCGCACGTGCCGCGCACTGCGAGGCTCTGGCGCCAATCCCGCAGACAGCGGACAACTAGAGTCGGCTGCGCGGCTCCGGCCGTCACGAAGTCGTGCTGCTGGAAACGGAATTCGAAAAGCGCCTCGAAGTTGGCCCGTGCCCGCCAAGATACGAACGGCTCCAAGCGGTGAGATCGTGAAACTTATCACTCATACCGAACTGCCACCACTCCATGCCCATTCAAAACTCGCCAGGATTCAGCTACAGCCTACCAAACCGCATTCCACCTCGCCCGAAGTCCCAAACCTAACTTAGGGTCGAAACCTGAAGGTTCCACAGGCTAGGCCCGATTGCCCGAACTCGCGAATCTCGAGGCTTCGCGATTCAGGGCGACTTCGAAGCGGCGCTTCGCGCAACTACTCGCGAATCATCGCGCATCCCAGCTGTCGCTAGAGCCTCGCGCGCCTGGGTTCGTCGTCGTGCCTCGCAGTGACCGTAGGGGCTCGCGGGCGCGTTGCCTTCGCTTCTTCCGCCACCCGCACTCGCCGACCCGCCGTCCGCTCTCACCGCACGCACCTCCTCGCCTCCCCCTCCCCGAAAAGCCCTCCCGGCCGCCCGCCGCCCCGACCTGGCGTCCGCGGCTGCTGCCGCTCGCTTCGTCGCGGGTTACGGCGCGCGAACAACGCGCGACAGCTGCTGCTGCCGACGCTCATGCTCCATTCGCCTGCTGCGCCTGTCGCCTTCTTCCCCCGCCAGGCGTCGCACAAGGGTGGCGATGGCGTCGCAGCGACGTCGCGCGGGCGATGGGAGGAGCGAGAGTGGCGATGAGGGGCAGGGAGAGGGCGAGCGTGTGAGTGGGGTTGGGGGTGAAAGTTGGGGTGCGGGCATGGGGAGAGCGCAAGGGGAAATTGGGGCGAGAGGGGGAGACGCGCGGGAGAGGGCGACGAGAGACGTCACGGGGGAGGGGCGAGGTGTGCGGGAGGAGGGGAGTGTGCGAGGCGGCAGGCAAGCGGCGTGGGGAGCGGCGGGATTAGAAACGGTGGCAGCGCGCGAGTGCTTGGTGCTGGCGTGCGTGACGGCGTGGGTGGCCGCGCGGGCGGTGCTGAGGGGCGCGCTGCCTCCCGCTACAGTAGCGAGCATGGTGGGCGTGTGGGCGGCAGGCATTGGCACGGAGTGGAGCGGCATGGGAAGAAGCTTCCGAGTGATGCGACCCAGGTGGGCGGTGTGTGCATACGTCCTGCCCTTCCCCTGCTGCCCGCATCTTCCTCTTCACTGCCTCCTCCCCTTCTCTCCCTCGCCCCCCCGTTCCAACCCCCCTGCACGTACGTGCACCTCGCATGCCTCTACCTACCGTCCCCTGCCATGCCACCCATCCTGCCTCCCTGCCTGTGCGCCCATCTCCCATCCCCTCCCTCCACAGGCTAGGCGCGTCGTCCCCGGGGCTGCCAGGGCTGCACCTCGCACTTATCACGCCCTCTGCTGCCATCGCTGCTGTCTGCTGCCTGCACCGCGCTGCACCGCTCTCAACCCCCCCCTCGCCCTCTCCCTGGCTGCTGCTGCTGCTGCACGCATCCCTGGCGTCTGCACTGGCTGCTGTGGCCGGCACTGTAGCATCTGCTGGCAGCACTGTAGCAGACACTGTAGCATCTGAGCACTTTACACAGAGAGGGGAAGAAGTGGAGGAGGATAGAGGAGGGGAGAAGGGGGAGGGGAGAGGGGATGGAGGGGGCAGGAGGGGGGGCGTGGGAGGCGAGGAGGGCAGCACGGAGGGGCGCATGGGAGCAGCGGTGGCGGCGTTTGAGAGGCGCTTTTTTGGGGGATGGATGGCGGCGGGCGCTGCTGCTGTGGCGCTGCTCTCTCACTGCTATGCTGGCGTGGACTGGCAGATAGGCGCAGGTGAGGTGAGGGCGCCAATGGCAGAAAGTTTTGGGCAGATGCTAAGGAGGAAGAAGGAGGGCTCCATTTGGCGCGTCAGACTCGTGCGTTGTGCCATCCCTTCTCGCCCTTCCCCCCGCCCCTCCCATCGTATGTCCCATCTTCACCTCCCTTGCGCACTCGCCTCTCATCCCATCCAACCATGCAGCTCCAAGATCGCCCAACCCTTTGCTCTCCTGCCACCTGCTCCCCTTTGTTCCCTCCATGCCATCTCTCATGCCCTCAATTTCTCCACCCATTCTCCACCCCCCATCGCACACCCCCCATCGCACACCCCCCATCGCACACCCCCCATGACACCCTCCCCCCTGCCCGCCCCCCGCACCACCCAGCTAGCCTCATCGCCCTCCACCTGCTGCTCTCCGCCTGCCTCCTGCGCACCCTGCTGTTGAAGTTTCCTCGCAGCTTCACTCCTGGTGAGACGCCCCACTCGCAAGGGGTTGTGGGGTGAGATGGGTTGTGGATGGGTTGTGGATGGGTTGTGGATGGGTTGTGGATGGGTTGTGGATGGGTTGTATAGGTGGAGGTGCATAGCAGAGGGTGTGGGTGGTGGTGCATGGCAGAGGGGTGTGGGTGGTGGTTCATGGTAGAGTGAGAAAGAGGAGAAGACGGTAGGGGATGCTCGTTGAGGATGCAGTGGACTCATTGCAGAGGCTGCAGCCTTGCTGTGATTCAGTCTCTCGTGACTACCTCGTCCCTCTGTCTTCTCCCTGCATCCTTTGCCCGTGCCCCATGCCCCGTGCCCCATGCCCCATGCCCCGTGCCCCGTGCCCCGTGCCCCGTGCCCTCTAATGCTGCCAGGCGAGGCCTTGCTGCTGGCTCAAGGCACATCGCTGTATGCCGCTCATGCCATCGCTCTCACCCTCTCGCAGGTAGGGCCTCCTGTACCATGCTTCATGCCACCTTGCATCATCCCACCATGCACCATGCGCCATGCACCATGCCACCATGCACCATGCCACCATGCCACCATGCACCATGCCACCATGCCACCATGCACCATGCCACCATGCACCATGCCACCATGCACCATGCCACCATGTCACCATGCCACCATGCCACCATGTCACCGTGCACCATGCCACTGTGCTTCATGCCCCCATGCATCATGGCACCGTGCCTCATGCTACGGTGCCCCATGTTGCCCATGCCTCGTTGTCATACATGGCATCGTCACCCGTCCATTGCAGGTGCTGCCACCCCATCTGTTGCCGCCCGGCCTTCTCCCGCCCTCGCCATCGTCAGCACTCACTGCCCACCTCTTTCTCTCACATGCTGACGCCACTGTTCAGGTGAGCTGACGCCACTGTTCAGGTGAGCTAACGCCACTGTTCATGTGAGCTGACGCCACTGTTCAAAGCTGCCATCATAGGCTCGGCCAGTGACCACGTTGAATAGTAGTGCGGCCTAACCTCGGCTGGCTTGGCAGTGCTCGGGTAGCGAGAAAAGGGAATTGAAGTTGAGAGGTTTGAATAATCTCAAACTTCAGTCACGGCGCACGAGCACCAAAATGACAGTGGGCGGTGGCCACTCATACCGCCCTCCCACCTGCACTCTCGAACCACCTGTTGACCTTGCTGGTTCCATCACTTCTTGCTTGCCCCTGTCGTTTCATCAACCCCCCCTCCCCCCTTCCACCACCACACCCCGACCGACCTCTCCCTCGCCTCCCTGCGTCCTTCAGGCACTCGTGCTGGCGATGCTGCTGCTTGCGTTGCTCTCGTCCGCCCTCACCTCCTCTGCTGCGAGGACCACACAGCACAGCCACCACGCGCTCCCCTGGCGGCGTGCAGCAGCGTTCTACGGCGGGCTGCTGCTGCTGCTGGGGCTGCTGGCGTCTCTCTGGCTGCAACTCGTGGTGCACCTCCCAGCCCACCCCCTCCTCTGGTCTGCTCCCAGCCCACCTTCTCCTCTGGTCTGCTCCCAGCCCACCTTCTCCTCTGGTCTGCTCCCAGCCCACCTTCTCCTCTAGTCTGCTCCCAGCCCACCTTCTCCTCTGGTCTGCTCCCAGCCCACCTTCTCCTCTGGTCTGCTCCCAGCCCACCTTCTCCTCTAGTCTGCTCCCAGCCCACCTTCTCCTCTGGTCTGCTCGCAGCCCACCTTCTCCTCTGGTCTGCTCCCAGCCCACCTTCTCCTCTGGTCTGCTCCCAGCCCACCTTCTCCTCTGGTCTGCTCCCAGCCCACCTTCTCCTCTGGTCTGCTCCCAGCCCACCTTCTCCTCTGGTCTGCTCCCAGCCCACCTTCTCCTCTGGTCTGCTCCCAGCCCACCTTCTCCTCTGGTCTGCTCCCAGCCCACCTTCTCCTCTGGTCTGCTCCCAGCCCACCTTCTCCTCTGGTCTGCTCCCAGCCCACCTTCTCCTCTGGTCTGCTCCCAGCCCACCTTCTCCTCTGGTCTGCTCCCAGCCCACCTTCTCCTCTGGTCTGCTCCCAGCCCACCTTCTCCTCTGGTCTGCTCCCAGCCCACCTTCTCCTCTGGTCTTCTCCCAGCCCACCTTCTCCTCTGGTCTGCTCGCAGCCCACCTTCTCCTCTGGTCTGCTCCCAGCCCACCTTCTCCTCTGGTCTGCTCCCAGCCCACCTTCTCCTCTAGTCTGTGTACCTGCCTTCCCGCCGCCCCTCCCTCTCGTGTTTCTCTCTCGTCTTTCCCGCTGTTGCCCTCCCCGTCGCTGCCGCCGCCATCCCGTCTCGCCTCGCCTCCTGTGCTCACTTCACTTCTCGCTCTCCCTCCCACTTCTCCGCCTCCGCTCTCCCTCCACCTCGCCACATGCTCGCTGTGCAATGTGTGAAACATCTCTTCCCTTCCCCCTCCACGTCCAACCACCTGCCCACCTCCCCCCTCCAGGTGCGTCCATCAGGTCACGGCCCACCCCACCACCCACGTGCCTCTCTGCCTCTACTGGCTGCTGCTCCTCCTCCTCCCCCTGCCCTTCCTCTCCCGCCTCGCCTCCTCCTCCACACACACACCACCGCCCCCCTCCCCTCCACCGCCTCCCTCCCCAGTCGCACTCCCTCCCCCCGCCGCACCGTCCACCCCCTCTCCACCGCCCTCTCCCCTGCCCTCTGCCCCCTCTGTGCCGCACGTGGTGCTGCGCAAGGCCTTCCACCTGCTCGCCCTCGCGCTCTTCCTGCCGCCCCTGCTGCTCCTGGTGAGGGGGAAGGATGGGGGGAGGAAAACGGGGTTGGTTGGCGAAGGGCGGGGTCGGGATGTCGGGGGGTGGGGGGAAGAGTGGAAAGGGGGGCGATTTGGTGGTGACATGTTTTGTGCGTGGAGGAGTTGGGAGGGGAGGGGTGGATGGATGGGATGAGAGGGAGCGTGAAGTGGAGAGCACAGGCAGCGACATCGAGACATTTGTTTGTTTTTTCCCGCTCAACCCTCTTGACTCACAGTGCGCGCATGACGGCTCACAGTGCGCGCATGACGGCTCGGAAACATTCCTCCCCCACTGCTGCCTTCCCCCATCCGTCCCTGCCCTTCCCCTCGCCCCTTCTCCTCCTCTCCAGCCCGCCTTCCTCCGCCTGGCCCTGGGGGTGGCGCTCTTCCTCTTCCTGCTGCTGGAGACCGTGAGAGTGAGTCACACGCAAGGCACACGCAAGGCACACGCAAGGCACACGCAAGGCACACGCAAGGCACACGCAAGGCACACGCAAGGCACACGCAAGGCACACGCAAGGGGGGACGGTGAGCCATGACGTTTTCGATTCGCCTTGACTGTTGTTGTGGATAGAACAGACGCCATGGGAGAAAACAGAAGGAGCACGCATTAGCGAAGAAACACGCAGGACGCGGAGGGATGAAGTTCACGTTTTCTACGAGCCTTTTGAGCACTCACACGCACAGCCTCCGTTGGGAGCTTCAAACCATGTGTCTGATCCATCTCCATTAAGTTCCCTCCGCTGGCATCTAGGCTCTGTGCTTCCCCTTCGTGTTAGCCCCCTTCGTGTCAGCCCACATCTTGTCAGCCCACATCGTGTCAGCCCACATCGTGTCAGACCCCTTCATGTCAGCTCCCTTTGTGTCATCTCCGTTTGTGTCATCTCCATCCATCTGTGGCATCTCCCATTGTGTCAACTGCCTTCGTGTCATCCCCTCGTGCCACCAATTCCTTTCTCATGGCAGCATCAGCGCATTCCTCCCCTGCACAGCTCCATAGAGGCCTTCATGCGTCCCTTCACGGACGCCCGTGATGCTGGCACGCTCATTCTCAGGTGATGCTGGCACGCTCATTCTCAGGTGATGCTGGCACGCTCATTCTCAGGTGATGCTGGCACGCTCATTCTCAGGTGATGCTGGCACGCTCATTCTCAGGTGATGCTGGCACGCTCATTCTCAGGTGATGCTGGCACGCTCATTCTCAGGTGATGCTGGCATGCTCATTCTCAGGTGATGCTGGCACGCTCATTCTCAGGTGATGCTGGCACGCTCATTCTCAGGTGATGCTGGCACGCTCATTCTCAGGTGATGCTGGCACGCTCATTCTCCGGTGAGTTCTTAGTTTTCTCAGAGATCAAGTTTCCGGTGATTCAAGCCCAAATCACAGCCTGTTGTGTATTCTGTTCTGTTCTGTTCTGTTCTGTTCTGTTCTGTTCTGTTCTGTTCTGTTCTGTTCTGTTCTGTTCTGTTCTGTTCTGTTATGTTCTGTTGTGTTCTGTTCTGTTCTGTTGTGTTCTGTTGTGTTCTGTTGTGTTGTGTTGTGTTGTGTTGTGTTGTGTTGTGTTGTGTTCTGTTGTGTTCTGTTCTGTTCTGTTCTGTTCTGTTCTGTTCTGTTCTGTTCTGTTCTGTTCTGTTCTGTTCTGTTCTGTTCTGTTCTGTTCTGTTCTGTTCTGTTCTGTTCTGTTCTGTTCTGCTCTGTTCTGTTCTGTTCTGTTCTGTTCTGTTCTGTTCTGTTCTGTTCTGTTCTGTTCTGTTCTGTTCTGTTCTGGTCTGGAATCATCTTCACAAGACTGGCCAGCGATTTGGCCAGCCCTTCAAAGTTAGAGCAACAGGGTGATTTATGCAACCGCGATTCAAGTGGCATGCCCGAGGCAGAAACGGTGGAACGTGAGTCCTCTGAGGACTCTTTATTCAGCACGCCTTGCCGTCGCCCTGCCAACTCCAGCCTATCTCACTCCCCCTCATCCTCACCTCACCCCCGCATGCCCTCGCCTCACATCAACTCATGCCCGTCCCTCACATCAACTCATGCCCGCCCCTCACATCAACTCATGCCCGCCCCTCACATCAACTCATGCCCGCCCCTCACATCAGCTCATCGCTCGCTCTCACAACCTCCAGCTCCCACACTCTCTTCTCCCAACCCTCCCAACCACGGAAACAAATCTCTGCTACTCTACACCCTAATCACAGCCTCTTGCCTCCGCTGCACAACCACATCCTCACCGCCCCCTCTCTTCCACCTCCCCTCTTCCCTCCCCCTTCCCCCCCAGCCACTTCTCTCTGCTGCTCGCCTGCATGCTGCCGCTCTGCCTCACCCCGCCCGCCCTCCTCTCCTCTTCGCACTCTCCAGTCCAAGCCTGCCACGTGGCACCGTTTGCTGGGCTGCTCAGTGTTGGCATCGGCGATACCATCGTGAGCAAAAGGCGCCGGGGGGCGTGGCAGTGGGGGGTGTAGGGGGGTGTGTGGCAGGGGGAAGTGGGGGCAAGGGGAAGTGGGGTAGGGGGACGTGGGGCGGTGGTGAGAGTGGCACAGGGGGGAGTGGGGCAGTGGGTAGTGGGTCGGGGGGGAGTGGGGCAGGGGGAGTGAGGCAGGGGGTAGTGGGGCAAGGGGCACACAATGAGGGCACACAGTGATGGTACACAGTGAAAGCAGGAGGGCTCTTCTGTTTAGTGGGCGAGTGACTGCAACTGTGATGTCCTGGGACGACACAGATGGTTTGGCCTGGTTTGGGGTTCATATCGGGGTTCATCGCCCCTTAGACGCCGTGCGGTTCTTCCCTTCTCCACCTTAGCCTTCGTTCATACTCCCCCAGCTTGCTTCTTCAACCGCTCATCTTGAAGGAGCCGATTTGTTGAAGGTCGGCATGACCAGTAGAGAAATTGAGGTGAATAGGTCAACTGACTCTGTAGAAGAAGTGCTCCCTGCTTTGGGGCAGTTTGTAGCGAGGGTGTTGCAGCGAACTAGAGGGTGGCTATAGCGGGTACTAAGGTGGTTGCAGCAGAAAAATGGTTGGTGGCAGTGCGCAAGAAGGTGGCGACCGCGAAGGGGATGGTGGCTGCAGCGGAAGAGCTTGTGGCTGTAGCGATCCAGCCGGTGGCTTTCTGCAGCCAGCCTCAAATCTGCTGCAACCACCCTCTCGTCTGCTGCCAAAGCCACCCGCTAGATCGCTACAGCCACAAGCTCTTCCACTGCAGCCACCATCCCCTTCGCTGCCGTCACTCTCTTGCGCGCTGCCGCCACCCACTTTTCTGCTGCAGCCACTTTAGTACTCGCTACAGCCACCCTCTCGTTCGCCGGAACCCCCCTCGATACAGACTGCCCCAAAGCCGGGAGCACTTCTTCTACAGATTCAGTTGACCCATTCACCTCAACTTTCTCTACTGGCCATGTCAACCTTCAACAGACCGGCTCATTCAAGTCGAGCGGTTGGAGAAGCAAGCTGGGGGAGTAAGGCTAAGGTGGAGAAGGGAAGAACAGCACGGCGACTAAAGGGTGATAAACCCCGATAAAAACCCCAAACCAGGCCAAATCTTCCGCGTCATCCTAGGACATCACAGTTGCAGTCACTTGCCCCCTAAGCAGAAGAGCCCTCACTGCCCTCACTGTGTGCCCTCCAGTCTTGACAACTGTCCTCCCTGCCCTGCGCTCATCGCTCCCCTCCGCTGCCACTTATGTGTTATTCGCCCCGCTCTCACCCTTCCCTCCACCGGCAGGCCTGCCCTCGTCCCATCCTCTACACATCGTGCCCTTCCCCAACCCATGCCCACTCCCACACCCACGCCCCTCCCCCACGCCCCTCTTACACGCCTCTCCCCCGTGCCACAGGCGTCGGTGGTGGGAGTGCAATGGGGGCAGCATCCGGTGGCGGTGGACTCGCCCAAGTCGTGGGAGGGCACGGCCGCTGCTGCCGCCGCCATGCTGGCCGCCTCGCTGCTACTCACCGCCCTGCTGCCGCCGCCCCTGGCAGCGGGGCATGCTGCTGCTGCGGCTCAGCCATCCATGTTTGCTTATCTACTGCAGGTATGCACATCTTGCACACTTGTGTTTCATCAGAATCGCCTGGGCAAGAGGTCCCTCCGTCCTCCCCAGCAGCACAACCTCTACTCCGACCTCCCCCCACCCGTCCCAACCAGGCGCCAGTGACTGCATGCGGGGTGGCGTGCCTCTTCTCTGCGCTGCTGGAGGCCTTCACCCAGCAGCTCGACAACGCCTTCATCCCCCTCCTGCACTTCTCCCTCTGCTGCCTCTAGGCCCCTGCAGTCGTGTGCTACACGACTGCATCCATGTGCTACACGACTGCATTCATGTGCTACACGACTGCATTCATGTGCTACACGACTGCATTCATGTGCTACACGACTGCATTCATGTGCTACTCGGCTACATTCATGTGCTACACGACTGCATTCATGTGCTACACCATAGAACATTGGTTATTGTGTCAAATGCCCTGCGCGTTTTTTATACCTCATGTTTCCATTCTGTCCTCGCCTGCATGTGGCGGCCACATGCAGTTGAGCCAAGCAGCACCCACTCGGCATGCAAGTTTGAGTGCATGTCACATGACAATCCAAGCATACAACACATGTCCCTCCACGCATTTTGCTCAGTCATGTTGTGTATCTCACTGCACAAAGGCCCAACACTATGAAACTTCCTGACTCCTGAATCCAGGGCCTTGAATGAATCCTTGATGTACCCGTACGTCTCAATGAGCAAACAATACCTAGGAGGTGAGTGTGTGGTGGCAGAGCACACTGCCAGGGCACATCCGAGCACCCCTAGCATGACGCCGGGCCTTGGTGAGCAGGGCGGTGTCCTGTACACTGCATCACACAACCTGGGCGTGTTGAGAGCCACATCCGCGTGCTGCCTTCGCTGCTGTGCGCTGCCCATTGTCCGGCATGCGCTGCGCTACACGCCCCCTCTTGCTCGCCAAGTGGCTGCACGCCACGTCCCAACCATGCACGCCACGTCCCAACCATGCACGACCGCATGACTCCAAACATGCCCTATGTGCCATCGGCACGGCCCCCAACCTGCTGTGTAGCCAGAAGCGCCTAGATGATCCCCTGGCGCCTAAATGATCCCCTGGCGCCGCAGGTCCTGGAAGGTCTTCTTGTCGTACACGTTGCCCTCGCGGTCCTCACACTCTTCCTCCACCTCCGGCCGCCACTTGCTGCCGCCCTGCTTCTCCCGCATGCGCTCCCACAGGGCCAGCGCGTCCTGTAGTGCAGATCGAGTACGGGGTGTGGATGAAGGAAGGAAGCAAGCAGCAATGTAGGGAGGGCGAAATGAGAGACGCACAAGGTGAGGATGAGAAGAAAAAACAAGAGCCAGCTCCGTGCCAGTGGTGGTATAACATGGCCATACTCTCTGCCAGTGGTGGTATAACATGGCCATACTCTCTGCCAGTGGTGGTATAACATGGCCATACTCTGTGCCTCTCAATGCACACTCAGGCGCATGCATGCACATGCCATGCTGACGGCACATGCCATGCTGACGGCACATGCCATGCTGACGGCACATGCCATGCTGACGGCACATGCCATGCTGATGGCACATGCCATGCTGACGGCACATGCCATGCTGATGGCACATGCCATGCTGATGGCACATGCCATGCTGACGGCACATGCCATGCTGATGGCACATATGCTGATGGCACATGCCATGCTGACGGCACATGCCATGCTGACGGCACATGCCATGCTGACGGCACATGCCATGCTGACGGCACATGCCATGCTGACGGCACATGCCACGTTCAACAACCACCTTGATTCCTCCCCCACGCACCTTGATCACCGTGACCTCGTGTCCACCGCTCACCTTGATCACCGTGACCTTGTGTCCACTGCTCACCTTGATGACCGTGACCTCGTGTCCACCGCCCACCTTGATCACCGTGACCTTGTGTCCACCGCTCACCTTGATCACCGTGACCTCGTGTCCACCGCTCACCTTGATGACCGTGACCTCGTGTCCACCGCTCACCTTGATCACCGTGACCTCGTGTCCACCGCTCACCTTGATCACCGTGACCTGGTGCCCACTGCTCACCTTGATCACCGTGACCTCGTGTCCATGCCTCACCTTGATCACCGTGACCTCGTGTCCACCGCTGACCTTGATGACGGTGACCTCGTGGAAGGCCTTGGTGTTGGGCACGCCCAGGCAGCGCATGCCGTGTTGGTGCCGGAACTCCCTGAAGTGCCGCTCAAACGCGCGCCGCCCCCAGTAGCTGTAGTTGCCGCAGATCTCGCACTTGAACTCCTGGGAGGACGAGGGGCGGGCATGGGATGAGGGGCAAGCATGGGATGAGAGACACAACGGAGCAAGATCAAGCAAACACAGGATGCCCCGGTAGCTGTAGTTGCCGCAGATCTGGCACTTGAACTCCTGGGGGGGAGAGCGAGGCACGGTCCAGGTGGATGAGACAAGAGGCAGGAGAGTGAAGCAGTTGGGCAGCAGAGGATGTAAAATCCGTTGAGGGTACGAGAAAGAAAACAGACTGCACCTGGTTGAGCCCCCACCTGGTTGAGCCCCCACCTGGTTGAGCCCCCACCTGGTTGAGCCCCCACCTGGTTGAGCCCCTAGTTGTCATATACGCTCTGGCCGGGAAGCGTATTGCATATATACGCTATATGCTCGCCGGAATTTTCCCGGGCTGCTTGACGGAAAAAGTCGCGATTTTTTTTCCGCGACAATGCTACATGGCCAGACACTCCGTCTAGTCGCAATGCCCAACCTAGTCGACTGAAAATCACTTCCAACCATTTCCCCCCCACTCAACCGCACTGATCTCTTTTGCATCTAGAACTTCCAATTTAGCGCCCCTGCCTGGTTGAGCCCCCACCTGGTTGAACCCGCACCTGGTTGAGCCCGCACCTAGTTGAGCCCGCACCTGGTTGAGCCCGCACCTGGTTGAGCCCGCACCTGGTTGAGCCCCCACCTGGTTGAGCCCGCACCTGGTTGAGCCCGCACCTGGTTGAACCCGCACCTGGTTGAGTCCATGCAGCTTGTAGAGCCAGTACGGGATGGGCTTGCCGTCCCACCCCATGGGCAGCTTCAAAGGGTTGTAGATCTCCTCCTCCTCCTCGTCACTCTCCTCCTCCTCCTCCACCACCTCCTCCTGCCGCGCTCAGAGTGGGGCGCCCAGCAAGTAGCGCACATAGTGGGCGGCGGGTTTCGGCAGGAGGGGGGGGCGGGAAGGACAACGCACGGGGTGGGAACGGAGAGGGGGTTTGGGGGGGGGGGGGGAGAGGAGAACGCACAGAGTGAGAACATCAAAGACAAGGCAGAACACAACTATGAAAATTCCAAATTGCGATTAATCATTCTGCACTCCTCTCTCTCTCCCTCTCTCTTCCTCCCTCCCTCCCCCCCCTCCCATTAGACATGGGCACAGGTCTAGCTCAAGCCGCCTCGCCTTGCACCGCCCTCGAGCCGACTGGTGGACGAGCGGAGCCGAGCTGACCAAAAGCCCGGCTCGATGCTCATCCAAAAACGGTGAGCCCGGCAGGGGCTCGACTCCAGCCGGGTCTAGGTTCGGCGAGGGGCCCACCAGGGAAGGTGCACCTGGCATTTCGCCTGCCGGGCCGCTCATCGAGCAAAAGAGCAGGCAGCTCATGGCTCGACTCGGCTCGGCGGGCGGTTAGATCTGGCCGAGCCGGACGAGCCAAGCCGCAGCACTTCCATTTGCCCATGCCTACCTCCAATCCCACCCCCCCTCCCTCCCTCACTCCCACCCTCCCTCTCTCTCCCTCTAACATTCTCTCCCTCTCACTTCTCCCCATGACTGACCTCCTCTCTCTCGGCCGCCATCTCCTCGTACGTCAACCCCGCCTTCTTCTCCACATGCACTCGGGTCTCAGAGATGGGCTGCCATGCATGCATGGCATGGCACGGCATGGCATGGGGGGCACACATGCCACACGTGCAAGGGGAGAGGTGCAAGTGAGGATTGTACGGGGCAGGGGAAGATGGGAGAAAGTGAGGGGTTGTAAGGGGGGCGGCAATGATGACGGGCGCGGCAATGATGACGGGCATGGCCAAACACACACGGAGCGGGACGACATGCAAGCGACAAAATCCCCCAAGCAGCATCACATTCTCCATCACCCTCCACTCCGCACACCCCACCACAACTTCACCCCTCCCTCACCCCTCGCCTCAACCCTCCCCTCACCCCTACCCTCAACCCTCCCCTCACCCTTCCTTCACCTCTCCCCTCACCCCTGCACTCACCCCTCCCCTCACCCTTCCCCTCACCCCTGCCCTCACCCCTCCCCTCACCCTTCCCCTCACCCCTGCCCTCACCCCTGCCCTCACCCTTCCCCTCACCCCTGCCCTCACCCCTGCCCTCACCCTTCCCCTCACCCCTGCCCTCACCCCTGCCCTCACCCTTCCCCTCACCCCTGCCCTCACCCCTGCCCTCACCCTTCCCCTCACCCCTGCCCTCACTCCTGCCCTCACCCTTCCCCTCACCCCTCCCTCCCTCACCCCTGCCCTCACCCCGTCCCTCCATGGCCCCCCGCTCACCCCCTCCAGCAGCTCGCACAGCCGCTGCACCTTCGCCTCCACCAGCGCCACCTCGCGCGCCACACTGCCACTGCCGCTGCTACCCCCGCCCCCGCCGCCGCCGCCGCCGCTGGCCCCATTGGCAGTGCTGCTCTTCCCGCCCTTCCTCTTGGGCGGGGCGAACGCCTTGGCGAAGTGCTTCGGGTGGATGTCCTCAAAGCGCGTCGTCTGGAGGGGGTGTGCAGGAGTAGGGAGGCACAGGAGAAGGGGGACAAAATTGGGCCGAGGGCAGGGTGGCAGAGAGGGGATGGATGATTGCAGGTCGAGCGATTGACTGGAGTGGACCACACTGAACTGACAACTCAAGTTGCAAAAGCAGCAGCATACAACAACATCACGAGTATGGAGGCGCACAACAAGGCACCCTTCACCTCAACCACGGGGTTTCAGCATGTGCCACCGCAGCCGTTGTCAATACTGCTAGAGCACCGCATGTGCCCCCTTCGCCATGAGCCCCCACTCACCTTGGCCATCAGCAGTCGCTCTGCCCGCTCCCGCGGTGTGCCGCCTGTCTTGAGTCCCAGCGCGCCCAGCGCCTCTTTGATCTTGCCCGCGCCCACCAGGTCGCCATCCAGCAGCTCCTCAGCGGTGTCGAACTGTGAGAGGTCCACCACAGCCTGCTTCGCCCCGTACCCCTCGCCCTCGCCCTCCCCCTCCGCCCCCTCCTCGCCCTCCCCCTCCCCCCGCAGCACGCCCGCCCACCCCAGGCCCTGATCCTCCCACCCCAGCACCTGCCCCTGCTCCCACCGGTCGCTGAAGTCTGCCTCCAGCTGCCAGAGAAGGGGTGGGCAGGGGGGTTGGGGGATGCGGTAGGTGCAAAAACAAGGGAGGAAGGGAGTGAGATGGAGGTGAAGGCCCTCGCACCCCACAGCATGCCCCGGCTACACCAGTCAGTACCTTGAGCTGCGAGGGCAAGCGGGGGATGGCGGGTAAGAGAGGGAGGAGGGCGGCAAGGCAGAGATGATGGCATCGATGGCAGCGCCTGACGCCACTGCCCACTGCAATCTGCCGCTGACTGCCACAGGGGGGGGGGAAGAGCATGGGCGAGCGGAGGGGACGAACGAAGGACTGGAGCCCTCACCTTGCCCTGCTGCCTCACCTTGCCCTGCTGCCTCACCTTGGCGTGGTGCTTGGCGAGGTCCTGCAGGGGCTGCGTGCGCTGGAAGAACGACTCCAGGTACTCCAGCAGCCGCAACATGTACGCCCGGTACGTCCTGGGCGGGGGTTGGTGGAGGTGGGGGGACAGGTTAGGGGGGAGGAATATGGGGAGGGGGGCAGGGCGCGGGAAGAAGATTAAGGAGGAGTGAGAGATTATTGAAGGAAGTAGGTAGGAACATGGAAGGCTGAGTAGGCTACAGGTCTGCACCAAAGCAAGCACCAATCAGTAGAACCCATTGCATTGACAAGCTACTCAGCAATGACAGAAGCAACCACTATGAGGTCCAAGCACGCCCACGCCCGGTGCTGAGCTGCGCTGCACGGCAGTCTATCCTTCAAGCCAACGCCACTGGCTACTTGCCATTGTCGTTGCCTGTTGTCGAATGGCACTGCCTCACCAGGGTTCTGGTTTATCTTGTTTGGCGAATTAGCTTCCACAACGCGTATTTTTTTCCACGATGCGTAGTTGCTTCCAAGTTCTTTTCCTCCTCTTTCAGGAACTGAACCTCAAAAGTATGTACGCTAACCTGCTAATCATATTTAGCTTCTAAGCATACCTACTTGGAAAATGGAGCCAGAGGATTCGATAACTGTCGCCATTCCATTTAAACAGTTCAACAGCGGCAGGGTGACATGAGGGCGGTCGTCGTCGTTCTACTTCAATGGAATGGCGACAGTAACCGGATTCTCCAAATTTATTTTCCAAGTGTAGCATTGGAAGTGAAGTACTGTATGAGGAGCACGTTAGCGAATATTCTATCAATGTCAAGTCTCTAAAAGTGGAGGGAAAAAACGTGGAAGCAACTACGGCTCGTGAAAGCAACTACACAGCATGGAAGCTAGCTTGCCAAAACAGGCTAAGTCGAAACCTTCCGAGGCAGTGCAATCGATTACAATCTCTCAAGAGGTGCCCGACAGCCGCTTGAGACGCAAGCATCGCTGACCACGGCTCACCTCCCGGCAATTCGCTGCATGGCGCCACACAATAAACGGACTACCATCAAGTGACTGGTACAAGCACGCCCCCGCACCACATAGTACAAGCCTTCACACCCTAAGGAGCATACTTGGTGAATTTGAGGTTGCGCGGAATCTTGTGCGTCTGCGGCAGCTCGTCCAGGTACATCGAATACTCCATGGCGCGCCCGAACTTGGCGTTGGTGAACTGCTGGTACACCTCGTGCACGTCCACGTACTTGCCCAGCGCCTCCTGGGGGGTGGAGGAAATGCGAGGGACGAAGGGAGGGCACTGGAATGAGGGCAAGAACATACGGAGATGTTGCATGCTGCTCGCATTGACGGCAACTGTGTGCGCCTGCATCTGTGCTTACGGATGGGCCAGCTTTGAAGCCAGCTCTAGCAGGCTGGTCTGGTCAAGGAAAGGCGGTATGTTTACCTTAGCTTCAGACAGACGTTAGTTCAAGTGCTGGACGTTAGTTCAAGTGCTGGACAGGCGTGCAATCACACACCATGAGGCACAGGATGCATCCAAGCGACCACATGTCGGTGGCTCGACCATGGCCACGGTCTGCCATGCGAAGCACAGTGCAATTATGCCAGCACACTTGTTGCGCTCATGGGTCCAGCTGCAGACGGTGGTTGCTCGGATGCATTCTCCACCACATGGTCCACCATGTGCGTCCACCACTTGAAACAAGGCCAGCCTACGACCAATCTGGGGGTACGAACACAACCACGGCCAATGCATTGTCATAGCCATAAGATCCTTACTCACCTTCCGAACTGCACCCAATTCTCACCTCCCCGCTAGCCTCACCTCCCCGCTGAACCCACCTCTCCGCTGAACTGCACCCAGGGCTCGTCCTTGATGGCCTCGTCCACGTCCACCTCGCCCTCCACCACGCGCGCGCCGGGGTGCCGCCGGTGGTACTCGCGGATCTGCCAGGGGGGGCGCAGGGGGCGCAGGGGGCACAGGGGGCAAGGCATGGGCCATGCAAGCAGTCCTCCACCGCCCTCGCCTCTGGATGCTGCCGGTGGTAGTCGTGGATCGGACAGGCACAGCGCAGCACGCACAGCGGGCAAGGCATGCAGAGGGAGTCGCTGCCATGCCGCCAATCATCCGCCGGACCGATGGAGACGGCGGTAGTCGCAGATGTGACATGGGGGAAATGGGGCGCGGGGCGGTGGATGTGTGGGCATGGATTGCGGTGAAGCGCGGGGGGCTGGACTGAGAAGCATCCACCACACTTGCTCCGACATGAATGGCGTGTCGCCCCCTGCACTAAGCCACTCGTTACCTCATTGAGCCCCTAATCACTGCATCCAACCCACCATCATCTCGTGGAGCCCCTCTTCACCACACTCAACCTTGCGTTACCTCGTTGAGGCGCTCATAGAAGGTGGTGAAGACGGTGGCGCTGGGGTTGGGCGTGCCCTGCCCTCCCAGCGCCGCTATCTCGTCCTTCCGCGCGCCGTCCCGGTCCGCATAGACCTCCGCCTGCCAGCAGCCCAGGGGAGGGAATTACCGGGGGGGGGGGGACGGGGGCAGGAAGAGAGGGAGTAAAGATGGGGGGAAGGAAGGAAAAGAAGAGAGTGAGGAGTAGAGCAGAATACCATCTGTGTCCGCGTAGATTGCCACCTGCAATTAGAGCGACAAGAAGATGAGGGAGGTGGGGAGGGAGGGGGGAGGGGGGGGAGAGGGAGGCAGAGTGGGGGGAGAGGGAGGGAGAGCGGGGGAGAGGGGGGGGACAGGGAGGGAGAGGGAGGGAGAGGGAGGGAGAGGGGGGGAGAGGGGGGAGAGAGGGAGGGAGAGGGGGAGGAGAGGGAGGGAGAGGGGGGGAGAGGGGGAGGAGAGGGAGGGAGAGGGGGGGAGAGGGAGGGAGAGGGAGGGAGAAGGGGGGGGGAGAAGGAGGAGAGGTAAGAGAACGGGGCTGGGGGAGGGAGGAGCGGGGGGGAAGTGCGAAGAAGAGGATCCAGCAGAGTGGACCTGTGCCTGCGCCAGCAGCCGACAGAGGAGCGCGGAAACCGTGCGAGCAGCAGATAGGGAGAGAGCGGTAGTTGTTGTTGGTTTTTTTTTTTTTTTTTTTGCTTTTTTTTTTGGGCTTTAAGGAGATCCCAGGAGGAAACCAGGCCCCCTTTCCCACGCCGATCCACCTGCGAGCCTTTGGGGGAGACCCCCTAGCGCCCAAGGCTTCACCCGTGTTGCGGAGGGTAGGCGGTAGCGGTAGTTGTAAGAGTACAACGGGGCGGGCAACAACACGTGGGCTGGGCCTTAATGTTGCAGGGCTGCTGGCTTTCCTAACACGGGTCGACTCGTGCTTGTCGCAAGTCAAGGAAGCTAGAATGACAGGCAGGTGAGGAGGATAGGGCAAAGAGGCGTGGCAGGGGATTAGCGCACAATGGAAGATAGGGCACGAGGCAAGGTGGTTAGGACACGAGGCAAGGTGGTTAGGACACGAGGCAAGGTGGTTAGGACACGATGCAAGGTGGTTAGGACACGAGGCAAGGTGGTTAGGACACGAGGCAAGGTGGTTAGGACACGAGGCAAGGTGGTGGTTAGGACACGAGGCAAGGTGGTTAGGACACGAGGCAAGGTGGTTGAGACACGAGGCAAGGTGGTTCGGACACGAGGCAAGGTGGTTAGGACACGAGGCAAGGTGGTTAGGGCACGAGGCAGGGTGGTTAGGGCACGAGGCAGGGTGCTTAGGGCACGAGGCAAGGTGGTTAGGACACGAGGCAAGGTGTTAGGACACGAGGCAGGGTGGTTAGGGCACGAGGCAGGGTGGTTAGGACACGAGGCAAGGTGGTTAGGGCACGAGGCAAGGTGGTTAGGACACGAGGCAAGGTGGTTAAGACACGAGGCAAGGTGGTTAGGACACGAGGCAAGGTGGTTAGGACACGAGGCAAGGTGGTTAGGACACGAGGCAAGGTGGTTAGGGCACGAGGCAGGGTGGTTAGGGCACGAGGCAAGGTGGTTAGGGCACGAGGCAGGGTGGTTAGGGCACGAGGCAAGGTGGTTAGGACACGAGGCAAGGTGGTTAGGACACGAGGCAAGGTGGTTAGGACACGAGGCAAGGTGGTTAGGACACGAGGCAAGGTGGTTAGGACACGAGGCAGGGTGGTTAGGGCACGAGGCAGGGTGGTTAGGGCACGAGGCAAGGTGGTTAGGACACGAGGCAAGGTGGTTAGGACACGAGGCAAGGTGGTTAGGACACGATGCAAGGTGGTTAGGACACGAGGCAAGGTGGTTAGGACACGAGGCAAGGTGGTTAGGACACGAGGCAAGGTGGTGGTTAGGACACGAGGCAAGGTGGTTAGGACACGAGGCAAGGTGGTTGAGACACGAGGCAAGGTGGTTCGGACACGAGGCAAGGTGGTTAGGACACGAGGCAAGGTGGTTAGGGCACGAGGCAGGGTGGTTAGGGCACGAGGCAGGGTGCTTAGGGCACGAGGCAAGGTGGTTAGGACACGAGGCAAGGTGTTAGGACACGAGGCAGGGTGGTTAGGGCACGAGGCAGGGTGGTTAGGACACGAGGCAAGGTGGTTAGGGCACGAGGCAAGGTGGTTAGGACACGAGGCAAGGTGGTTAAGACACGAGGCAAGGTGGTTAGGACACGAGGCAAGGTGGTTAGGACACGAGGCAAGGTGGTTAGGACACGAGGCAAGGTGGTTAGGACACGAGGCAGGGTGGTTAGGGCACGAGGCAAGGTGGTTAGGGCACGAGGCAGGGTGGTTAGGGCACGAGGCAAGGTGGTTAGGACACGAGGCAAGGTGGTTAGGACACGAGGCAAGGTGGTTAGGACACGAGGCAAGGTGGTTAGGACACGAGGCAAGGTGGTTAGGACACGAGGCAGGGTGGTTAGGGCACGAGGCAGGGTGGTTAGGGCACGAGGCAAGGTGGTTAGGACACGAGGCAAGGTGGTTAGGACACGAGGCAAGGTGGTTAGGACACGAGGCAAGGTGGTTAGGACACGAGGCAAGGTGGTTAGGACACGAGGCAAGGTGGTTAGGACACGAGGCAGGGTGGTTAGGGCACGAGGTAGGGTGGTTAGGGCACAAGGCAGGGTGGTTAGGGCACGAGGCAGGGTGGTTAGGGCACGAGGCAGGGTGGTTAGGGCACGAGGCAGGGTGGTTAGGGCACGAGCCAGGGTGGTTTAGGGCACGAGGCAGGGTGGTTAGGGCACGAGGCAGGGTGGTTAGGGCACGAGGCAGGGTGGTTAGGGCACGAGGCAGGGTGGTTAGGGCACGAGCCAGGGTGGTTAGGGCACGAGCCAGGGTGGTTAGGGCACGAGGCAGGGTGGTTAGGGCACGAGGCAGGGTGGTTAGGGCACGAGGCAGGGTGGTTAGGGCACGAGGCAGGGTGGTTAGGGCACGAGGCAGGGTGGTTAGGGCACGAGGCAGGGTGGTTAGGGCACGAGCCAGGGTGGTTAGGGCACGAGCCAGGGTGGTTAGGGCACGAGGCAGGGATGTGGGATGACGGGGGACGGGAGCATGACGATTGGAAGAGCAGCGGCTTTCCCCGCATGTCCGTATCGAGCGCAGACCGCTCTGCTGTCTCCCATGGCCGCCATGCCCTTTCCCCCCGCACCGCTCATCCTCACCACCGCTCTATCGTCTACCATCCACGCGCTAACAAGGCTGCTGCCCGCACGGCTGCCGACTGCTCATCCGGCGGCGCTCTGAGCTGCAACGCGGTGCCCCCGGTGCCGGGTAGTGCCGCCACGCCGCGAGCGACGTGAGGAACGCGCTGCGCGGAGATGCACGGGGCCTGGCTAAGCCTCGCGAATCGGATCTATGCGATTCGTGCTGCCGCATCGAAAGCTGCTCGCCCGTTGCGATTCACAGATCAACAAACGCTCTTCCCCGTGCCCGGCCCGCGCGGCGTACCAGGCGCGCGCTGTTGGCGACGATGGCGTCGACGACGTTCTTGATGCGGTGGCTCTGAAACAGCTTCTCGCGCTGCGACGACACGTTCTGCTGCAGGTCCCTCACCGCCTGCCGCTCCAGCCGCTCGTTCTCCTCGTGCGCCGCGCGCGCCTGCTCCAGCAGCGTGGACGCCATCGGGGGAAGCGGCTGCGCTCGCGGTGAGACGCAGTCGCTCAAAGAAATTCTCGACTTCTTAGGCTTGGGGAAACTCTGACCCTTCGTGACAACTTTGATGGATATAGGCTGACGCGAAGTTTGGCGTCGACATTAGCTTGTAACTAGTTAGATTCGTGTCATGCATAATAATACAGAATGCACAAGTGAGGTAGAATTGAGGCCATTTTAATGCTACTCGCTAACTATCACATATGTGTTTTCAAGAGAAAATTACACGGTATTTCGCAAACCATTGTCTGGGAAACTGAAATTCGCTTCTTGCTCGGTGGGCCTCACACAACACTTGGTCACCCCAGCAGCAGCAGGATGGCTGCTGCCGCAGTGCCGATGGCACGTCCCATGGACAGGTTGTAGGGTGAGATGGCAGCGGACGAACGTGAGGGGGAGGTGGTGGATGGGGTGGACGGGCTGCTGGGCGCACTGGGTGATGGGGGTGGTGATGGTGGTGGTGGTGGCGAGCATGAATTGGTGGGCAACCATGCACGCGCACACCAACACAAGCACCACATATGTCGTTAGCGCCTATTCATGCATGATGCAACAAGGCATGCTGGCATCAGCTAGCATGCACTAAGACATGGAATGACACGCACAATTCGACACCGACTAACACAAGTTGGCATTGATTGACACAACTTGGTATTGCCTAACACAATTTTTGATTGACACAGCTTGACATTGACTGACACAGCTTGACATTGACTGACACAACTTGACATTGACAGACACAACTTGACATTGGCTCTGCAACTTACGCGGAGGCGATGGCGACTGCAGCTCATCCTCGTAGGCTGAAGGGGGGGCATGCAAGAGCGAGAAGAGGGGGCCGATGAAGAGCGGGTGATGAAGAGCGGGTGACGAAGAGCAGCGGGACATTGAGAACGAAACACACGACATGCACGCACTCCCACACACACCCCCACGCACGTGCATGAACTGGCACACACACACACACACGCAAACACGGACACGCATACACATATACATACACACACACACACATTCACACACACACACATATACACATACACATACACACATACACACACACACACACACATACACATACACACACACACACACACACACACACACACATATGCGTGCACACGTGCACGCGCATACGAAACATGCGCACACGCACGCGTGCGCGCACACACAAACGAGCACTGTTCTGCCGGATCCCCTTGTTCTGCACGCGCATTTTAAGATGGGCCCATGTACCCAGCAGATCCACTCCACCATACTTGGCGTCCAGCCCTCCTCACCACACCTGGCGTCCAGCCCTCCTCACCACACTTGGCGTCCAGCCCTCCTCACCACACTTGGCGTCCAGCCCTCCTCACCACACGTGGCGTCCAGCCCTCCTCACCACACTTGGTGTCCAGCCCTCCTCACGTCGCCCGCGAAACTGATTACCCCCCCCCCCCCCCCCTTCCTTCCTCTCCAATATCCCCCTTCCCCCCTCTCCTACCTCCCTTCCACACACGCTAAAAGTTCTGCGCTCACGCATGAGAAAAAGTTGACCGAGCGCAGCGTCCTTGTAACGCCCACCAGTTTATAACCACACCAGTTTATAGTGGCGAAATTACAGCAACAATAAGTTCACTAACAAAAACTGGAGGTATTAGGATGGTTCTAGGAGTTTCTGGAAGAAAACCCCAAGAATTTGGCTAAGTATGAGAACTCTAGAGATAGCCTTAGATGGCTTGGGTTGAGAGACCAAAAGCAATCCTTCTTCCAAATGGGTGAATTGGGGAAGGAATTGGAGAATGAGCCCATGGAGCTCCCTCTCCTCCTAAACCCCTTGGGGTGCAACCCTCTTCTCCCTGACACAAGGAGGGGTGCATCACAATGGGCTTGTGCCCATGTGGCATGATTGGTTATTTCCAATGGTATTCCATTCCAACCTGTCTCCTCCTCCATTGGTTGAATTTCCAACCAATGGCTTTGTTGGCTTGGTTGGTTGAATTCCCACCCTTGCTAACTTTTCAATATTGCTTGGTTGCGTTTCCAATATTTGCTGACTTGGCATGGTTCATTGGTTGATTGGTTTCCAATACACCCAACCCTCATGTCCCAACCTATCCTCCAAACCTAGTTTCCATTCCACTTATCCAAACCTAGGATTTCCAAATCATCCTCGTCACTTTGTAACGTACGAAATTATAGGTTGGAACAGGAAACGCGGCTTGGGAATAGTGTCGAGATGTTACAGTCCTGTAGAATGCCCTTGTTCTGCACCACGATGGTCTGCACGAGCACCTCCTCATCCACGCTGAGGTTCCCAAACAGCACCACATACAACCGCATGTCAAACAGCGCCGCGCCGCTGCTGCCCGCCCTGCACCCGCTCAGGCATGCGCGCCGCACCCATACCTGAGATGGGCATGCACAGCAGGAGATAGAGAGGGGGGTGGCTTGCAAGGTTAATCATTAGGGCTCAGGTGAAGCAACACGACAAAGAGGGCTATGCCGCTGCTGATGCCGTACAGTCGCCAATACCTCCGACATGCTTCCTTGAAGACCCGACTGCAGTTCATGAGTGTTTTGTCAAATGTCCCCACAAGCCAATCTCCAGAGATGATCGTTCATTCAAATTCCCTACACGGACTGATCTCTTATTCCACCTGCCCTCAAGCACCGACATCAGACAACACCTGCCCTCAAGAACCAGTGACCATGAGGGGACAGCCATGGCGAGGGGAAGGGAAGAGCATGGAGGGGTGATCAGTATTGTGGGATGATGCTCGAGTCAGCAAGGCAGCAGGTCTGGTTCGACTTGTCGTAGGGACGAGTAAGAGCTAACTGGAGCCGAGTTTCCCTCGACTCGACTCACGCTCATGCTCATCCTTACCCCTGACACCTTCTCTTCACCATTCCTCTCTTGCCCACCAGACCGGGGCATGCTCCATGAGCCACCAATGCTCGCAGAACTTCTCACCCCCTCGCACACCTGCTCCACAGCAACTGCTCTAGACCAACAGCTCCAGAGCAACAGCTCCTGAGGAATGCCCACCTGCTCCAGAGCAGTGCCCACTTGCTCCCGAGCAATGCCCGCCTGCTCCGGAGCAATGCCCGCCTGCTCCGGAGCAATGCCCGCCTGCTCAGGAGCAATGCCTGCCTGCTCCGGAGCAAAGCTGGCCTCCTCCGGAACAAAGCCCGCCTGCTCCTGAGCAATGCCCGCCTGCTCCTGAGCAATGCCCGCCTGCTCCCGAGCAATGCCCGCCTTCTCCCGAGCAATGCCCACCTTCTCCCGAGCAATGCCCGCCTTCTCCCGAGCAATGCCCCCCCGCTCCCGAGCAATGCCCGCCCGCTCCCGAGCAATGCCCGCCCGCTCCGGAGCAATGCCCGCCCGCTCCGGAGCAATGCCCGCCCGCTCGAGAGCATTACCTGTCTGCTCGAGAGCAATGCCCGCCCGCTCGAGAGCAATGCCCGCCGTGTGAGAGTACAACCCCGCTACACCAATTTCCCTTTCTATGTCTCCTTTCTATTTCATTCCTCTTTTTCCCTCATCTCATTTGGTTTCCCATTTCTCCTATTCCATTGACCTTTGGTTTCTCATGTTATTATGATTATTTCGCCGACCAGGCTCGGGATATATAGGCGCGCTATATCTAGTGTAATCCTGCCGCAATCCCTTAAAGCCAATAGCCTCGCATGGCTATACGCAGGGTGATTCTATTTCTAGAAGGGTCTATTCCATTTGGATAGGATAAACTTCGTTACCTGATGTACTTTGGAAGTATAAAAGCACCTTGTATCAATCGATAGTGCAACTTTTCCTCGACAGATGCGATCCTGTAACACTTGGTAATCAGAGCTTTGCTCACTCAGCCGCGCTCAGCTAAGCAGGAGCAGCGGGAAAACCTGCTTCGAAAAGCCGCCGGGGGCGACTCATTCCGCGCCGATTCTGGTAAGCACCAGCTTCGTGTTTTGAACAGGATGGCGAACTTCCACAACGTCGAGGTTACCTAGCAGTTCTTGGCGAGCATCGCCGCCCTTCAGGAGGAGATGCGAGCCGATCGCGAAGCTTGGCGAAACGAGTCGAGCGAGTAACTCGACTCGCCGTCGTGCAGCACGACATGACAACGACGGCGAAGCAGCAATCGCAGCAGTTTCTCGAGGCTCCAAAACCGCGCCCACCTGAGCCGTTCGATTCGAGCGATCGAAATTCTGACGCCCGGCATGGAGATCTACTTCGCAGCCGTCGGATGGAGCTGGCCAGTCTAGGATGGTCAACGCGTACGACTCGCGGCGACACTGATGCGAGGACCGGCAGTCAAGTGGATCGTTGGTACCACTACCTTCATCCACGGCGAAGCCATGTGGCAGCAGTTCCGCACCAACCCGCTGAAACGCTTCGAGTCGATAAATTCGGGTTTCCTTGCTCGGGAAAAAAATCATCGCCATCGACAGTTCGGGAGTGTACCACAGTATATGCAACAGATGGAGGAATTATATAACCGCATTCCTGACCTGACCAAAGGGGAAAAATTACAATCGTATCTCGCTGGGCTGAAGACCGAAGTCAAACGACAGGTAGCAGCGACAAATTACTTGAGCTACAGTGACGTCGTTTCTGCAGAAGAGCGGTTCGACATGGTCAACGCCGGAACACGACGGGCGCACGTCGGCAGTACGCGACAGGGCGACTGCTCGGCTCACATCACGTTCGCCGACCCGATGGAAATCGACAGATTCGACGGGCGGTCATGTCCGAAAAACACCAACTACACATGTGATTTTTGCGGGGTGCCGGGCCATCGAATCTTCGACCGCAACAAAATGAAAGCCGCTCGCGCAGAGTATCGGGCACGCAACAGTGGGGGAAATTCTTCGGCCAATCAGAAGACAAAAAACGGAATTCACCAGTGATTGCGGATCTAGCTGGTGAAAAAGAAAAAATAAAAGCCGCCGCAGTATTCTGGGAAAATCGACTTCAACGAAGCTGATTCGATGCGAGCAGGAGGAAATGATGGGGAAAAATCTCTACCCCACGACCAGTCTTCGCGAGAGAAA